TATGTATGATTAAATGCATTAATTTTTAATGCATTTAGCTATAAATATTTAATCATTTATTTTAAATATACAATATTTTCATAAAGAAATTTACATTTTTGCATTAATTTCCTGAAAATAAAGCATTTTTTTTACACTGAATTATCATGACTTGAAAGTTTCTAAATGTTTTACTTTAAAAGGTCATCGTACATTTTAATCTCGAACATTTTATCAATTTTATAAATTGATAAATACATGAATGCATACATGTAAAAATAACGTTAATCAAAATTAATTATATATATATATATATATATATATATATATATATATTTTTTTTTTTTTTTTTTTTTTTTTTTTTAATGAATTATCATTACTCCAATGGGTCTAAATGTTACCTTCATTAGGTCATCATACATTTAAATCTCATAAATTTGATTACTATTTAATTTCAAATAGAATGTAAAATTAGTTGCACTACTATTCTGATGTATTTTGAAAAGATACAAACACAAACTAACATCTTATAAGCATAATAAGGAGAAAATATTTGATTTATAGTAATGCAATGTGCCTGTTGAACAAAATAAATAAATAAATAAATATCTTTTTTGAAAATTTTTGAAAAATCATTTTCTATTTATTTTAATATGTGTCTTTTTCTTGACAGCATCTGTCTAAATCATATTTAAAATAAATGAATCACGGTATTTAAAATGAAAGCTCTAAAGCTGACGAATGATTTCTCAGTTTATCTGAAGTCGATCTCTAGCTCTGAACATGCCTGCGGTTCTGCTGCTGCTGCAAAACCTGAGATGGAAATCTACAGCCATTGAGTTCTGCAGACACACATACAAGCAGACAGACAATCTAATCCTTCACATAAAAGCTGAATCTGCAAGCATGACAATCAGACACTGTTAGTCTGTTAGTGAAAATGATGTAGTCAAACATATTTACCAGAAAGAAGCCATTGTGCTGTGATGTCTCTTTATTACGGTTCTTTTTATCCTGTTGACGGCGGCAGCAAACATACGCACACACACACACAC